CTATCTGGAAGTAGGCTGATCTGTGAAAGTCATGTTTCAGTCAGGGTACCTGGACCAAGCAACCTGGGTTCCTCTACTGCAGGACTTCTTGGAGCCTGGCTCTTAGAGGATTAGCAGGCAGTGTTTCTCTGATGTATGATGTCCTGAATCCCAGGGAAAGCTAATGTCTCCTAGAAGAACGCTCCAACATGAGTGCTCAGCCTGGGCTTGGAGTCTGGATTAAGAACAGGCTTTCTTCCTCCTCCTCCTCCTCTACCAGTTAACTTAGTTTCTCAGCTTCTTCTCTTTTTAAAAGCATAAGCATTGGAAAGACTAAGCAGCCTGTAGATGCAGACTGACAGGCTTGGGAAGACTCAGCTGTCCTTTGTAGTCTGACCTGGTGGCCAGAGTTGAGTTATAATCTCTAGATTCCTCCTACACCGTGGGCTGGCAGCTCTTTATGTTGGATGCCCGTTATGTCTAGCCAGAGCATCAGCTATTGTCCATCCTGCAGGTTACCTGCACCAGACTTCAAAGACAACGCCTCTGTGTCCACTGTGAGCTCCCTCATCCTTCCTTACCATTTGCTCAGCCAAGAGTCCAGACTAAGTCTGAGAACCATCACAGACTTTTCTCCCCCTTGACTTCCTAGGTGACTGGCCCATATGTGTGTGTGTGTGTGTGTGTGTGTGTGTGTGTGTGTGTGTGTATGTATGTATGTATGTATTCTATACATTGAAGTGAGGGTGTCAGATCCCCTGAAGTTACAAACAGCTGTCAGCTGCCATGTAGGTGCTGGGAATTGAGCCTGGGTCCTCTGGAAGAATATCCAGTATTCTTAACTGCTGAGCCATCTCTCCAACTCGGGTGATTGGCACTTTTATGCCACATTCTCTCACTAGAGATGACAGTTTGGTCCTAGATACTTGTTAATCACTAAGGAGAAATTTAAGCCCCCCCCCATCTCTCCCTCCCTCCGTTCATGTGATAAGTAAAGAGGGTCCTGGGCTTTAGGTCTGAAGGATCACGACCCAAACTCCTTTCCACAATTGCAGGAAGCTCTCCAAACTGACTCTGTGAGGGAAAACCAGCTTGCCACTGTCTCTTCCCCTGCTGTGAATATTCATGCCACTTGCTGCAGGAGCACCTGACCACAGGGACTACCCAGCTCTGAGGGTGTAGATAACTCAGGATTCTGAACTCTGGAGGACATCAGACTCCAAGAATTCCAGAAAGGGGATTTTGAACCTATGTCTTCATCAATTAAAAACTCTGATAGAAAACTTCATAAACTCAAACATATTAACCTCCCATGAGATGATCTTAAGGGGCATAGTCACCCTGCTGTGGGACAGAAGGGCTAAGAAAGTGACCATTGCCAGCACCAGGAAGAGGTTCAGAAGACATCTTAGGGGAGATAAAGTTTGAGCTGGGTCTTGAAGGCTGAGTTGAATTTTTATTTAACGGTGAAGCTGTGGAAATGAAATTCTTGGCTGAGGGAAGAGCATGAAGAAAAATGTGCAGAGGAAAGAAAAGCTGTGTCTAAGCAGCTTGAGCTCCCAAGCTTTGTCATCCTACAGGAAAGGTCTGATAATCTGTCAGAGTGTGGGAGAAGCAATAGGATAACACAAAGAGGCAGCTAGTCCAAAAACTGATTTGCTCAGGGCTGGAATTTTCTTTGGGATGCAGACTTAATATATAGTCCCAGAGAAATATCTCTGATGGCCTCCCTGTGAGGTCTACTGGGCAGGCTGTGCCAATGCCAGCCTCCTGTGCCAATGCCAGCCTCCTGTGCCAATGCCAACCTCTCTTCCTCCCCCTCAGGCCGCTGCAGCAAGAGTCAACCTCCGGGCCAGGTCAGGCTAGAGCTCATTTCACTGCCTGCTGCTTGGTTTGGAGGCCAGTGCTTACCAGGTGGCCTCTGTTAACATCTGAGTGCCAGGTTCAGATCAGATCAACCACCTCCCACTGTCAGCAGCCCTGAGCAAGTTATTTACCTCTTCTGTGCCTTTGTTCCTCAGCTATAAAAGCAGAACAATAGTCTGCAGCTATTGAAATGGGCTGGAAGCTGGCCTATAAAGCGCTTGGCAGGGAGCCTGGCTGGTGAACACTCAGTAAGCAGCAGTTATTATTGTAGGGAGGACCCCTCCCTCCTCCAATTATATATACACACACACACATGAAGTCCTTGGTACTACCTTCCTTTTGCAAAGCCTTTCTTCTGGCCCTGGCCTCCCACTCTTCCTAGTGAACCATTTTTTGTGAGAATTTATTAGTTTATTTTCTTAGCTGATTCTTTTTTGGTTTTTGAGTCAAGGTTTCTCTGTGTAGCCCTGGCTATCTTGGAACTCTCTCTGTAGACCACGCTGGCCTCAAACTCACAGAGATCCACCTTCCTCTGCCTCTGGAGTGTGGAATTAAAGACATGTGCCACCATCGACAGATGATTCCTAATCATGGTGAAACCTCATTTTTCTTTATGGGATCATGACAGTCTAGAGGTTCCTAGCTTGTGTTCCACAGATTCTCAGAGATTTTTGTAGGCTGTCAGTTCTGGCTGTTGGGGTCCAGCCATGTAAATCAGTGTCAGCTTGAAGTCACCAGTTTACACTTCATCATCTCAAGGACCTGTGCTCCCCTAGACATGGGCTGTTAACCCACCCCTCACAGAAGCCTTCCGTCTTAAAGCTCTCAGCACAGACCTGGTGGAGAGAGGCGCTCAGGAGAACCTGCCTGTTGTCACACTTAGTATAAACATCACGTGGGAAATCACACTTTTAGCCCAAGATCATGCCTTGGGTCTAATTAAGAAGGTAAGATTTCTGTAGGAGAGGTGGATTACCTCGGCTTAGTGTGAGGATACTGTGGCACCATGCTGGGAGCCTCTGACTGGTAGTTCTATATAATTCTGCTAAGGGAAAAATGAGAAAAATGATTCCTTTGTAGATAGATTTGGGCAGAGAAGCATTGCAGGCCTGAATCATTAAGTTTCAGGAAAGAAAAGGAGTTGGCAGTCATCAAAATGTCATGGGGATTCATGGTGTAGTGCAGTGATCAGCACTGTCTAGTCAGCAGGTATACTGGCTAGTTATGTGTCCAGCAGGTATACTGGCTAGTTATGTGTCAAGTTGGCACGAGCTGTGGCCGTCTGAGAGGTGATAACCTCAATTGAGAGATTGCGTCAATAAACTCAGGCTATAGACAGGCAGGCCTATAGAGCATTTTCTTAATTAGTGACCAGTGTGGGAGGGCCCAGCACATTATGGATGGTTCTGGATGCTATAGGAAAGCAAGCTGATGGACTGGAGAGATGGCTCAGTGGTTAAGAGCACTACTTACTCTTTCAGAGGATTCCCAGCACCCACATGGCAGCTCACAACCATCTGTAATTCCAGTTCCAGGGGATCTGATACCCTCTCAAAGACACACAGGCAGGAGAGACACCAATTCACATTAAAAATAAAAAATAAGTAAACTGTAAATACATACAATTTAAAAAGGAAAAAAAAAAAAGGAAGAAAGAAAGCAAGCCGAGCAAGCCGGTAAGCACCCCTCCGTGGGCTCTGCAGAGATGATGGCTCTGCAGCTGAGAGTGCAGACTTCACTCCCAAAGGACCCAGCTTTGCTTCCGGCCACCACAGTAAGCAGCACACATACATGCATATTAAAAATTTTAGAATAAGGCCAGATGATAGTGGCATATACATTTAGTCCCAGCACTAGGGAGACAGAGAGGGGCGGATCTGTGTGAGGCCAGCCTGGTCTGTAGAACGAGTTCCAGGACAGCCGGGCTACACAGAGAAAGTGCATCTTGAAAAAAGCAAAACAAAATTTTGGAATAAAATTTTGACACAAGGTCTCACTATGTAGCCCAGACTGGCCTCAAACTCACCATTCTCTTGCCTCGGCCTCCCAGGTGCTGGAATAGGGTATACCATCATACCCATCCAAAACACTTATAACAAAAGTTCCCTCAAAGGCCCCTGGCAGGTCTTTTTTACATATGTGGAGTCCCCGCACATGTGTTTGTACATGTGTGTGGGTGAGCTAACCCATGCAGTCATATGTAGAAGCCAGTGGTTTGTACATGTGTGTGGGTGAGCTAACCCATGCAGGCATGTGTAGAAGCCAGTGGCTGACATTGGGGTGTCTTCCTCAGTTGTTTCTTCATCTTTGAGACGAGGCCTCTCACTGAACTTGGTGCTCACATTTTCTCTAGACTGACTGACCGTGAGCCCCGGGACCTGCCTTTCTCTGCTTTGCCTCCAGGGCTGTTCCTTCCTTTCCCGTGAGAGCTGAAGTCGGGCCCTTATGCTTACACAGAAAACCTTGAGAGCTCTGGGAGGGGTGTAGCTCCAACCTTCATCACAGAGCCCAGCACAAAGAAGAAATTTTCTCATGGTGCCCAGCCACCCTGTAGCAGAGCTTGGCACCGTGGTCTCCACCCCAGCATCCTTTCCAGGACCCCAGCCCAGAAGGGCCATCTCCCTGGGGTGCGAGTTCAGCAGCAGAGATACTTCACAAATACAGAGGCACTCTCTCCATTGCCTCACTTTCTTCACTAAGGGAAATGTCCCCTCTGCCACCAACACATGGACAGAGGCCAGGTCTGACCCGGAGTTTCCATATGTGCCTATTTGAAAGAACCACTTGGGGTGCCGGCACCAGGTGATGCTGGTTCACACATCAGCAGTGGCTGTATTAAAGTGAGTGCAGGGCATTCTTAGAACCCAGCAACTCCAGGGGACCCAAAGGCCCCGCCGGCAACGGCTCATTGGCTCACTAACGTTTCTGTCTCTAACTGAGCCGTGGTGCTAAAAGGCCAGCAAGAATTATCCATTGCAGTCATTGTGAGCCCACACTCTGTGCTGGTCCTCGAAGCATCTTTTCTCCATCAGAACCAGGTTCCTGGGCACACATGGCAACTGAGATGTGTTGCTGACCTACTTTGGGAAGATAGTTTGAACAGAAGACACTTAGTCTTGGCTGGTAACAATGTCTTTCTGTGGCTTTGTGCTTAGACTGAAAAACCTGGAGCTCACTGCTGTGGAAGGATCTGACGTCCACGTGAGGATGCTGGCAGCCCCTGTCAATCCATCTGACATAAATATGATCCAAGGTAACCTTGGTCTCTGGAGCTTATGTTAATTGGCTCAGCAGCTGCCTCCTTTCCAGTCCTCCTCAGGTAGGGTATGAAATTCTCAGGATTAGCAATGGCTGTCCGTTAGAGGGGCTGTCTGCATACAGTATCGGTCCTCTGGCCAACCTCCGAACACGAGGCTCTGTGAGTTAGGAAGATTGCAATTGTGGTAAACCTACCCCTCTGAAGAGCCTATGACACTCTGGATTTCTTTCTTTCTTGTGCTTACCCTGGTGATAACTGTGTACTATGGAGTATTAGCTTACCCTGGTAATAACTGTTACTACAGAGTATTAGCTTGCCCTGGTGATAACTGTGTCCCACAGAGTATTAGCTTACCCTGGTGAT